ACTGGATAGCTGGCCAATCAGAGCACACCTCGCTTTTTTAGAACGATGAGCTTTGTAAAAATCGATGCGTTTCAGAAAGGCGGGGCATAGAGGAGAAACAATAATGTACATTATGTGGAAAATAATGTTTTTTTTTTACCTTAAACCGCATAAACACATTACATTGCATTACACCAAATACACAAAATAATGTACTTTTTAGCAACATCATATGACCCCTTTAAAACAAGAGTCAGTTTTGTGTTGAGAGAGATTTCAGTTCATTTGATCAAATTCAAGTAGTATACAAATCCCAGTCGTAGCAGACCACTCACCAGTACGTCCCCGCCCCCTGTGATGTCAGCTCCATGCCGTCTACCCCGTAGTTGTCGTCGTCCATGATCTTGGACAGCCCGAAGTCTGTGATTTTTATTTCTCCACATGCTGTGCCATTCACCAGCAGGATGTTACCTAGCCAAACACAAGGATCAGTGTTCAACAGTCTCATCTTGCACCCCTTTTTATTAAAATGGTGCAAATTATCATGCTTGGCCCGGTACAGAAGAGTTGACTGGTCTGTGCATGTCACACACCTGGTTTGAGGTCGTAATGGATGATTGGTGGGCGGATCTCATTTAAGTACTTGAGGGCATTGACGACCTGCATTATGATGGATCGGGCCTCTTTCTCTGACATTAGCTTGTGCTGCTTCAGGTAGAAATCCAGATCGTTCCCCTCACAGTACTCCAGAACAGTGCAGAATCTAGAAACAATCCCACATAAAACAATGCCGCTTTCATCTCTCCACTTTAAGGAGTGAAATAGTGAAATGTTGATTGCAAAACTGTCAAATTAACACCACAAAATTAGTGAAAATGACTGAAAGCTTGAAATAGGCTTCAAATCATTTGTAAACTGTTCACATTTCAACAAGACAAGAGCAAGTTACTCACGAGTCGGTATCCAGGGAGAAGTAGTCATACAGTTTGACTATTCTAGGATGGTCCAACTCCTTATGGATCCTATATTCTCGACAGGCATGCCTATAAAGCATTTCATGACCAACAATCTTAATTCAACAAGCAGTTCAAAAAATAGCACTGAATTAACTTTTCACTGACAGAAGACTTTAAATAGGTTTGAATAAAATAATGGATCATATGTAAATCTTCAAACAAATTAAGAAAAGGAATATAAATATATAAGGTCTGACCAATTTCGGTCAAAGTTCCTACATAAAGCTCACAAAATCAACCACAAGCCTTGAGCTATTGTCTGGAAGAAAAGGAAGAGTTGTTCTTATCAGAGCAAATGAATGTTAATTGTAAAATACAGCAGTCCTGACAACACCATCATTTAACTCTCCATCCAGTTCCTTTCAATCTGTAGTCAAACCCAGATATCAGGGGCCTCGTGTATAAAAAGTGCAGAACAATTCAGGATTTATAAAGGACTAAACTGATGTGAAAATATTAGGTGTACACCAAATGAAAAGCATTTTGCACTCGCATTAGGGCTGAACGATTTTGGAAAATAATCGAATTGCGTTTTTTTTTTTTTTACCAATATTGCGATTTAATATGCAATTATTTTTTAAAGCTCTTTATGTTCTGTATTATTCAACAAAGACAAGCTATAAATCATTGTATAGTATGACCAACACACTGTTAGATAGATTAAACATAAATGTTCTTTTCTGTAGGCCAGGCCTATACGTTACAATGAAGGTGATACATGAATTGATATGAATGACATTTTTATTTAACAACTACAATCACAGTAGTATATTGACTGATTTGTTGAACTTCCAACCTTGTAAGCATGTAATAATTATGACAACATAACTGACAACTTAGCCTGGTGTAAACATTAATATGAAAGTCAGTAACAAATCACACAAACTAAAGTAGATTGCAGAAATATAAAAACAAATCTGTTGCTTTACCACACTACTTTAGCAATTCAAAGTCAATGTAATAAACATATGTAAACATGTGGACTGCACTTTTTAAACACTGTCTGTTAACTTTAGACAGACTTTAAATAAATAAATAAGAATATATATATATTACCTTATTATATATATTATTTTAAGGTCGAAGTCTTCAGTAATGAATTGCACTGTAACACTGTTACTGCTTGAGTAATTTTGTGTGACATCAAAGTACTGCGAGAGCGCGGACGTCTCCTTATGCTTTCTCTCACCATACTTTGATGTCATACACCGATCGATCTTCAAGTCGAACACACCTCTTTACTCTTGCGTCACGTGACTGAATGTAATCGCAGCCTCTGCGATTGAAAAATCGCGTTTTTTCATATTGCGATATTATCGCAAGTGCAATTAATTGTTCAGCCCTAACTCGCATATACCAGAGATGAATCCAATATTGTTTATTGAAATTTAAAGGTAAAAAGACAATCCCAATTTGCATTAAAATGATCATATGTGCAAATGAGCAAGTGCTCTGTCATAATAAAGTCATTTAGATATTTTATAAACGGTTCACATAAACATCTTGGAAACTGACATACATTTACAATAAGGATCATTATAAGCACATCTTTATGAATGAGGCCCCAGATTTCCACAGTCTGGTTCAGGAAGAATAGTGCGTTCTGGGAAACCAACCACAATTAAAATGTGCATTAGCTTTTAAGAAACAAGGTTGGAAAAGGTGTTTGCGCTCACTTGTGGTAGTTCTCTTTCTTCTCATCTCTCCAGTTCTTATTAAGCTGGTGAATCTTCACAGCCACGTACCTCTGCTCCGTCAAATCAAAGGCCTGGAGAAACAGAAAAGAACAGGAAGAAAAAGTCAGACTTGAAATAGCAGCAACAATTAATCTAGCAAATGCCTCAGAATGGTTGATTGTTGATTAGTGAAGATGACTAATTTAGCTAATTTTCTTTCTTCTGTTTTCAGTTTATTAAGCTCCCTCCAGCTGATTTCGAAAAAGAATACATCCCATGTGAACGTCCCATGATTTTACAGGTCTTGCAGTCAAACCACAGACTACTTGATTATGAAAATATGTGGATTTGTACATCCCTCAACCCAAACACGCATTCTTTCCGATCACAGATCTGTTACCTTGTAGACCTCACTGAAGCCTCCTCTACCCAGCAGATGCAAGAGCAGGTAACGGTCATTTAGCGTGGGATGATCTTTAAACCTGACAATCAGAGAGACAATTGCACGATAATTTAAATCCGCCATAGACATGTTTAAACTCTGAAAATTCTCAAAAGCGCTCAAAAAAATAAACTCTGTGCTGAAACCAAAATGGCACAAGTGTGGAAATAAACTTTGAAAGTGCATACTGGGAGTTATCTTCATTGTGGATTCTTTTGAGCTCTCGGATGTGAAGATTACGCACACGCTCCAACCGTTCCAGCTCTACTTGAATCTCTGCTTCCTCCTGACACACACACACACACACACAACACCAAAACATTAAGACTCGTCTCCATGACAACACAAATTTAACCACACCTGTAATATGAATGTGATGATATGAATACCTTCTTCAGGTGTCCGAGTCTCAGTTTGAAAATTTCTTCTTGCTCATGGTATTCTGCTAAAGATAACCTGTGAGGACATAAATTATGACAAAAGCCAATTAAGCGGAATTTCTTAAACAACTCAAAGCCTGACATGGCAGAAAAACTTACATCTCGTTCTCGGCGCCATTGCTCTTGCTCTTGCGTTTGTTGGGTTCTAGGTTGGGAGGAGGAGTCTGACTGGCATTGGGTGGTTTTTTCTTCATCAGCAGTTTCCTCTGCCTTTCTATGTCCTCTCTCTGCCCATTGACTCTCTCTTGTTGTCTATACAAAGACAAAGTCATTTTTATTTTACATAACACGTTTCCTACTTTTTCTTTTCATTTTGTTTCAAAGTTTTGTCATTCATAAAGTTCAACATTCTCTGTGCATGTTTGTTTTTTTAAATACTTTAATACTTTCATATACCAATAAAGGCCCGTTCACACAAAGATGAATGTCTGGCAAGTTAAACACTTCAACTGGAATGAATGGGTGTTAATGTGTCTGTTCAGACTGGCACAAACATTCGCACGCCGTAAATGCCACAGATTTTTATTTTTTTAATGGCGAGGTGTTCCAATCTCTTTTCCATCACACTGTGAATAAAGCTGGCCAACTAATAAGATTCATGCTTTTGTTCACGCCCAGAGCTGCCACTGCGGTTACATAAAACGATGACTTGGTGGTACTCATAAACAGAGCTAAGTGAAAGAAAAAAAAGCAGAGGAAGGATCCGGAACAGGCTATCTTGTCTTTGCACTGCTGTTGGTGTTGTTTGATAAACACCACAGAGAATACAAATATCTGAACGACTGTATGAAAACATGTCAATTCTGTTTGACTGCCTTTCTTCTCTGCTATAAGCAGATGTCAGAACCAGAAAGTTGTGCAGTGATTTGTGTATCGGTGTATTTCTACTTTTCTATAAGCATCGCAGATTGTCAGAGAGTGAAATTGCATTTTCATTTAGCCAGTCTGCTGATTTTTTTAAATCACATGTGAAAATAATATTGAATTTTCATTCCAAAATCAGTGCAAAACATCTGGGGAAAAAAATAAATAAATATGGGGCTTGTGATAATCCAAACATACAAAAAAAAATTACATTATAGGTACAGCTGTCATAAAACCAGAGGGAAAGGCTGCATTGCTAGAAACTGTAAAAAAAATAAAAAATAAAAAAGTCAAATAATAGTATGAGACAGTGGTAATATCATTATGTTCCAATTGGTTAGTAGAGGAGCTCAGCTTAGCCTGACAGTTAGCCTGCTTTAGACCAGGTTAGTTTCCCAGCCTAATGTAACAAGGTTTGTGTGAAGGGTGGCTGGTTAAGTTTAGCTAAAGACAACAGATTGTAATTTTGGTGCAAAAAAAAAAAATTGTATTGCCTCAACACTCATATTACATATCCTGTTTAATGATATACTGAAGAGTAGTATACTAATCATTAGTATACTACTCTTCAGTGCCTTCAACAGCTCAGCTGGTAGAGCGGAGGACTGTATGTAGGAGTGTTGGCAATCCTTAGGTCGCTGGTTCGACTCCGGCTCGAAGGAGGGTTATACAGTGAACTTTTCATATCAGCAGACAATATCCCATACAAAATATTCCCACAAAACAAAAGTGCTGAATAACCGAGATCAGTTAAAGTTAAGGTGATGAGTAGACTGAAGTTGGGCTCAGGTGGTTGTGCTGTGGGATGTGTTTCCCATACATTTATTTATTTGTGGCACTCGCCACAATATCAAAACTGACCTATTTTCCAAAAGGCTTCGTTGAATAAACATGAGCACATACTGCACGTTTAAAAATCAAAACGAGGCGCTGATAAGCAGCGTGTGTGAGTTCAGCGCTGCTTTGTGTACAGCTGTTACCGGGGAAACCTCGGTTTCTCCCGCTTTAAAACACCTCCTGCTGGCAGAGAATTAATTGTAATTTTCAGTAAGTCTGTCTGATTTACGCAGCAAACATATTTTGCTTTTCCTATATCCACGGGCGCTGCGGATAATCTGCAGGTCGGGTAATAAAAAATGCATTCTGCTTATTTGCGGGTGGGTCGCGGGTGGATAAAATAAATCATAAATGAAGCAAATATTAACTACATTTTTTTCGTGAGGCAGACAATTTCGTGTGTGTGTGTGTGTGTGTGTGTTCGTTCGCCTGATCGGATATGGCCAATTTGTTTTATAAATAAATGTTCATTTAAAAGCAGCCCACGATCAGCGTGTTATGTTACCGATGTTACCGTCGGCTCC